ATCTTCTTTCAACAAACTGGCCATATCCCACCAAGGCAGGGTGGCCCAAAAAGAAAAACGAAAGTTTTTCTTTTTAAATTTAGTAATTTATACAGAACACCAGCCTTACACTGCTTCATCTATTAATTCATTTGCGAATGTTTGACACTGAAGAATGTGTGCATCTTACAACCCCTAAACAAGTCTTTAAGAGCAGTCACGAGTCCGTGAAGTATCTCTGCACCAACACCGAGTATATTTGTGTATGTATAACCACTATACATGTTATGTAGTATCATCCACTAGAGCATCCACCAGTCTGCACTGCCCCCTCGCTCCACCGACGACAACTCGCTCGGGCCGGGTCTATGGTGAGTAACTAAAGCATCGTGGACCCCCTGGGACTTATTATGGGTACAGAAAGGCACACAAGTTGTCAAAAATGGGATCGTGGTCTCCCATAGTTGAAGTCAACAAATGGGCAAGGTACCACCATGGGAATGAACTAAAGACATACCCAGTGACTAAAAGTGAAATTGTTTGAGAGCGAGAGAGAGAGGAGAGATGAGAGACGAGAGAGATGGGAGAGAGATGGGGGAGAGAGAGAGAGAGAGAGAGAGAGAGAGAGAGAGAGAGAGAGAGAGAGAGAGAGAGAGAGAGAGAGAGAGAGAGGATGGAGAGAGGAGATAGAGAGGAGATAGAGAGGAGATAGAGAAGAGAAGAGAGGAGAGGAGAGGAGAGGAGAGAGAGAGAGAGAGAGAGAGAGAGAGAGAGAGAGAGAGAGAGTAATGTTTGATAGATTAAATAGGTATTTTTTTTATCGCACTCACGATGATAAATGACATATTTACATCAAGATGAGTGTAATGACTCAAAAGCTTTGAACTGAGACTTCACATATTTAATGTAAAGCCTCTTTACACATCCTGAAATGATCACCACACCATTCATGCTGCAATAGGATAGTAAGGTGGCATCATAAAAATCTAGGTGAGGCACACTGGAGGAATCTCAAATCTCTATTGTCACCCTGGGGGTATAGAGGCGAGAATCCCCCAGCCTCTTGGAGTTGGAAATGGCATGCCAACACGTAAGAAGGTAAGTTAGGGTCTGAACACACCTGGGATGTTATTTCGTGCACTAGATCTTGCTCAACTTATTCTTAAAAATAAAAAAAAGAAAAACAGAAAGCTTAAGGAGCAACTAAAAATAATACTAATTTAAGGTGGGGTGCAAAGTTCCTAACATCCCAAGTGTGTTCACTGTACTATGGAGGAAAAGACTGGACAACAGAATGGTATAGCATGAGAGTTTTTTCTTTTTTTCCTTGGGTATAAGGGGCAACTATGTACATGCTTTGGAAGATTCTGCTTATCCTTGCTTGCACAGTCATGCTGCTGCTCTCTATGTGGCTCTCTAGCGGCACTTCCGTAGTCACCCGACTTTCCCCTTGCTATTTTCAACACCTAGGCCCCCTCCTCTGAAATTATTCTTTTCTATTTAGGCCCCTTAACCCTTAAACTGTCCAAACATAGATCTATGTTGACGTGCGTAGTGCTCCGAACGTAGATCTACGTCCGATTTTACATGCTTTCAAATGGAGAAAATCAAGGTCGGAGCTCTACACATGTCAACGTAGATCTACGTTTGGACAGTTTAAGGGTTAAAGGTTATCACCTTCCTGTTGCACCCCCACTCTCTCTCTATGTTCTTTTCCTCAAACCATTCAGTGTGCTATTTACCCTGTAAGTTCCTCCTCTAAGGTCATCCTTATGTACTTCCCTCTTCTAACAACCTGTCTTCCCTACAGCTTTTGACACATTGTCTATTTTACCAGTGTTTTTCAATTCTTTTACCTTATCTCCGTAATATTTGTATCAAATACTTTCTTCTATTCATATCTTGATCCATTCTTTAGTACTAGCATCCTGTACATACCCATCCTTTAAATCCTACCCTCTCCCTCCCACCAAATCCAATAAATTTGGGTTTATCTCTCTTGGGTTTTAGTTCACATTTTTTCATGTGAAGTTCCCCAACCTTTACACATACAGACCCTCATAAGTTATTCAAGGATTTTACCATTAAGTTGTTTTACTAACGAGACATTCTCCTCACACCATTCACATGCTCGCATCATATCCCGCTCATCAGGACCTTCTCACGAGACACCTTGCCATGCCCCCCCACCATTTACTTGTCCTCCACCACACCTCCATCTTCACAGCTCCCTGGGTTTCCCTTCAATCGGCATCCCCAGTGCTTCCTGTACCAACTAAGCTTCTGAACAATCCTCCTAGTTTCTAATCATACAGCTAACCAACAGAGTACAGTATAACTTCAGAGAAGCAGGCAGCATTGTTACTGAGAATAATGAATTTACCATAGAATCCCATTTATTAAAATTTCTAAAACTAATGATTAAATTTCCTCTTGTATGAAATATTACAAAATTATGATTCTGCTCATATTTTTTTAACAATTTAAATTAAAACAATTTATTGGCTCCTATTTCAGTAAATATATTAACCCCCTAAAATTTAGCTATTTTATTTTTTAGTTCATAACTTTTCATTGTGCACAGGTATGTTTTTTCTGTAGTTTAATAAAAAATTAATTTCAAATAATTACTCCCTAATATGACACATGATCTAGCCATTCTTAAAATTCTCAGTTTATAAAATCTGGACATGATAATAGCGGTCTGCTCAGTAACCTGTGTTGCTCTGCAACATACCACATCTGTATAAAATATCCATGGATACCTACAGCTACCCAGTCATTACACTGGTTACCTGTCACTGCAAAAGTTCAAACATGCCAATATTTAACAGGTACAATATGTGCCCGTTGGTTAAGAAAACATACCGATAGTGCACACAAAGCAAACACACACATACACATGCATATACACACACATACATGCACACAAGCACACACACACGCGCACACACACGCGCGCGCGCACACACACACACACACACTGGTCAACACCAACTAGCAACAAATTGCTCACTAGCAGCCCAAGTAAACCCACGAAAGTCTACTATTAAATCGTCTTTCTCTGTGTTGTGAGTAGGAAAATGAGTTTTATCAACAAACCAGCTTGGGCTTACTTTGGCCAGTCCCGAGACAAATAAATGCACCACTAATAAAGTAGTAGAACAATCAACATCATAGACCATAACCTCTTGCTTTCCCATGTCCGACGTAGCGGACCTGAACCAGCGAAAGTAAAAGTTAGGAAAATACGTAACAATCACCCAATTATTCATAATTACAGTTGAGGACTAACCTAATGGTAAAATGATATGTACAATGGATTGCTTATTGAATCTGAGGGCAAAGGCGAAATATGAATGTGCACCTTTTGATAATATGTGCCAAGATTACATAGAAAAATAAGAGTTTGTGCTTACAACTTAAATCATGTGATTAATTCAGATATCATTATTTCCTCACTTTAAGAGAAGTAAAGAGTAATGCAGCACAAAACAGCAGACTTACCCTATGACCACTTAACAGCAAATGGGAAAGTAACCATTTAGGTTCAGCCGTTATCTTTCACACCACCACAGAAAATGGGACAGTAACATGACATGTGCCATGCTGAGACTTGAAGCTACTGGGACACTTCCTTCATAATAATATATTACTGTAACTGGTGTATATGTTGTACATCTTACCAGTATTGTATTATACAGAATGAACACCATCATCTTGAAATGATTCAAAATACTATTTTACAAACTTTTAAACAAGGGGGTTTTGGAAGAGCAGAGAACTTGTATTCCATTGAAACGAGAACACACAGCTTCTGTACGGTATCTATTTTGTAGCTCTGCACTTATTTACTATGCCTTCTTGACGGTCCACACATGTAGTCCAGGGTAATCATTCACAATACTGTATCACAGACATTCCCGCTCATAGTCCTGCATGGCCGCAACGCACCGAGTTTGTCAAACGTGTAGTTCTTTTAGATATCTTTTATTTCATTAAATCCTTCTAATACCAACAGAATAGTTTCTAGATGCTGATGGTTCCATCCATCAAATATCTTTTGGTCTACAGTTTGATTAAATCCCAAAACTAGCTCCACTGTTAACTACCCCAATTGCTTAACCAATTAGTATTTGTTCTTATTTTCACATCAGTCAGCAGCCATGCACACAAGCTTCACATGGATTAATTATCCATGGAGGTTAGTGGTCTCCTCTGGACCCGGCCACTTTGGGATGAATGACCCTTCAACAACCCTGTGATGGGTCTGAGTTTTCCTGTGTCCTACTTTATTAGGAACCACTCACTAGAAGAACCAGGGTCCTTTTCTTTTATACTGACAGTTGACTGAACTGACCACTGTCATTTATCACTGAATAATGGAGGCAAGATTTTCACTGAAGTAAAAAGGTTGCTCCTGTGTCTGCCTATTGAGTAATGGGTGGTTCCCCTCTGACTTCTGACTTAAGCTTGACAAATTCCTTTGCTACTTCATCGTTGGTGCGTTGGCTCAAAATTCGTAACACTGTCCATCCAGTCTCGTCCATTTGACAGCGTTTGCCCAGGAAGAGCCATGTTGCGCACGAACCCTAAAGAAAAAAAACATGTACTTCTCAAATACTTCTTCAACTAATATTTCACAATTAATATTTCACAACTAATATTTTTGCAGTTTTGCAAAACCAGTAACAGATAAATATGTCCTGAATAATGATTTTTTGTAGAATATTTTTATAACATGTACTGGATGGTTGAATTGTTATGTTTATAACCTATTAACTACACAATGATCAATAATGCTATGTGTAATCTGTACATCACTAATCAAGAATGCTTAAGCCTAATAAGTATGCTTTCAGTGCACACACATCAAGAAATACAAAGCTCTGATACAACATCAATAATCTTGCATGGTCAGTGATGTCTCCAAGTTGAAACACAGCCAGTCACCTGATCTACAATGTCTCTAAGTTGAAGCATAACTGCTCACCTGATCAACAATGTCTCTAAGCTGAAGCACAGCTACTCCCACCAGTCTATCATCACGAGCAAAGCAGTAGTCCTTCACACAGATGTGAAGTTCGAAGCTCTCAGGACCTTCTTCACTCCCAATTAAGCTGAAAGTAGGTAGACAGTGGTGTGAACTTATGATAGGTGGCCAGTGGTATAAGCTTGAAGTAGGCAGACAGTAATATAAGCTAAAAGTAGGTAGACAATGGTATAAGCTTTCTCATTCACCACTGTGGGTGATAAAGCAATAAAGCTCCACCCTCAGTGGGACTTTTATCAAATACCTGATAAAGCCATTCTGAGGGTAATAAAGCCTCATTCTGGCTGATCAAGTTCCACTGTGGGTAATAGTATCTCACTAGCAGTTCACAAATTGGAGAGGAAACATCAGATGACATTTTTGTAAGATGTGATTGGTTGTGGCCATTGTGTTGCAGGTGGTAAGCATTGTGTAATACAATATCTGTTTCTTTATTAATCAAGCTATTTATTAAAGCTCAATCTAAACTATATGGAGTAGTACACTAGACTATATGGAATACAAGTACACAAGACTATATAGAGTAGAAGTACACTAGACCATATGGAATCCCGGTACACTAGATTATATGGAGTGGAGGTACAGTAAATTATATGGAGTGGAGATACGTTACACTATGTTGAGTGGAGGAATACTAAATCTTAACGATTTCTGCCTATTGATCCTGACTTATCAAGAGGGTTACATTGATGCTGGGTAAAGGGCTCTTGATGCTACAAATTAAAACTACCTTCCACATTTTCATATCAAACCTGGTTACCCTCAATTCTCTCATTATTCCCCCCCCCCCACCTCCCTGGAAATTTACAGCTTGCCCCCTATGAATATAATGAAGAGGTGACTAAAATAATACAATATGAGAAGACTTACAACTGGACGCTCTCATTATATTTGGGCGACCAGCTGTTAGACTTAGACTTCGTGGCAAACTTTCTCTTCTTGTCTGCCAGGTGAGGACCTATGAGGTTGACCTCGACGAAGGGGCGGAACATTCCTCCTGCTGTCGTGGGCCACCGAAGATCATTGGCTGCCACAACTTCACAAAAGATAAAATAAAAAAGGGTTAATAAGATAACAAAATAAGCAAACAGAAAAAAACAGATGTGTTCACAAATATTGTGCACTTTCAAGAGGAAACTTACAATGACATTTTGGTTCATCCTGGTGCAATGTCAAATAATATATGAATTTCTGCAGATGCATCTTAGATAAGTGTGAGTTGTTCATGAATTGTTCCAGCCATAGCATTGTGACTTTCCATACTCCAGTAGATGTATTACAAAACACAAATGATAAACATCAGAAATTATTATTTATCCCTTTCAGGGTCCAGAGGCCAAATTTCAAAGTGCACACCAGTGTCCAAGAATTTTCAAAAAATAATTTTGTTATTTTTTCTTATGAAATGGTATAGAATCTTTTCCTGAAGGTAATAAAACAAAAAGTACGAAATTTTATAGAAAATTTACGAAATAATGCTCTCGCAAATTTTGATGTGTCAGCAATATATACGCATCAGCGATTTTGCCGACTTTGACTCCCATTTTAGGCCAATTACCTTATTCCAGTCGGCCAAATTCTTAGCTATTTCACTAGTATTACTTCTATTCTATCGACTGAGCACAAGAAATCACCAACTCGACTGCTTCAACTACAAAATAAAGTGATTGGAAATTGGTAATTTGGCCAATTTAGTACAAAGTTCAAAATATTCCAATTTCAAAATAGGGTCCAGAATAAACAATGCAGGCATTCCAAGCACTAAGCTAACATTTCCTCTATTCATTAGTTACATTTTCAGGCTTTGCAAATGAATTCCATTTTGATTTTTAATTCACATAATGAATTTTTATTCAAACCAAAAAATAGAAGATTTACTGTAATGCAATATTGTAATAATTGTATAAATAATATCAGCACATTTGTGAATGTATATTAGACCCACCAGCTGGCGTGTATTAGACGTGTGAGGTCATTTGTTTACTCCTGAACATCAGTAAAAATTTAACATTTCCACTACTCTGAGCTCAGTTTCAAGCCATTTTCAGTACTGAAACCAATCAAAATATCTTCCATTCTATCAAATGAGACCAAGAAATTGCAAATACAATGGTCCCTCAATAATCGTCCGGCCTGAAAGTCGTCCATTTTGGAAATAGTCCTGTTATTTCGTCTAAACACTGGCTCGCAAATGGTCCGTTAGCTCGCTAATAGTCCTTCGTCCGGGACGCATACTCACGCTCTGAGCTGCCTGGGCCTTCCCTTCCCAGCCAGTGTGCCACTGTTTACCAGTGAGCGACAGTCCCCTCACTTGCTCCTACGAAATATTTCATAATATTCCCTTGATTTTAGTGCTTGCAAGTGCTAAATAAGCTACCATGGCTCCAAAGAAAGCTCCTAGTGCCAAGCCCTTAGTAAAGAAGGTGAGAAATATGATTGAATTTAAGAAAAACATCATTGAACAATATGAAAGTGGCGTACGTCTGGGCGAACTGGCCAGGATGTATAACAAATCCCGTACAACCATATCTTCCATCATAGCCAAGAAAAAGGAAATCAAGGACGCTGTTGTTGCAAAGGGGGTAAATATGCTGACAAAAATGAGATCACCAGTACTCAAAGATGTGGGTTATTTGTGTATAGAGAAACAATTAGCAGGAGATAGTCTTATGACGTCGCTTATTTGTGAAAAGGCTAGGCAGTTGCATGACGATTTGGCAAAGAAACTGCCTGCAACTAGTGGTGATGTGAGTGAATTTAAGGCCAGCAAAGGCTGGTCTGAGAGATTAAAGAAGCGTACTGGCATACACAGTGTGGTAAGGCATGGTGAGGCTGCCAGTACTGACAACAAAGCGGCTGAAAAATATGTGCAGGAATTCAAGGAGTACATAAACAGTGAAGGACTGAAACCTGAACAAGTGTTCAATTGTGACAAAACAGGCCTCTTTTGGAAGAAAATGCCAAAGAGGACCTACATTACTCAGGAAGAAAAGGCACTGCCAGGACACAAGCCTATGAAAGACAGGCTGACACTCATGTTCTGTGCTAATGCTAGTGGGGATTTCAAAGTTAAGCCGTTACTAGTGTACCATTCTGAAAATCCCAGAGTGTTCAAGAAAAACAATGTTATGAAGAGTAAATTGTGTGTGTTTTGGAGATCTAATAATAAGGCATAAGTCACAAGGGACATTTTCGTCGAGTGGTTCAATGAAGTGTTTGGCCCTAGTGTGAAGAATTACCTCCTGGAAAAGAAATTGGATCTCAAGTGCCTCCTAGTAATGGACAATGCACCTGTTCATCCTCCAAACTTGAATGACCTAATTCTGAAGGAGTTTGGGCTCATCACAGTAAAGTTCTTGCCCCCGAATACCACTCCTCTCCTCCAGCCCATGGACCAGCAAGTCATTTCAAACTTTAAAAAACTCTACACCAAAGCAATGTTTGAAAGGTGCTTTAATGTGACCTCAGACACTCACTTGACCCTAAGAGATTTTTGTAAAGAACACTTCAGTATTCTCCATTGCATAAGCCTTATAGGTAAGGCTTGGGAGGGAGTGACTACCAGGACTTTGAACTCTGCTTGGAGAAAATTGTGGCCAGATTGTGTCCACAAGAGGGATTTTGAAGGGTTTGAGGCAGCCCTGATGACCCTATGTCAGTTGTGAACTCTACTGTCGCACGGGGGGATTTCCCATGGGGTTGGATATGAGTTTGGAGGATGTGGAAGAGTTGGTGGAGGACCACAGTGAAGAGCTAACCACTGAGGAGCTGCAAGAGCTTCAGCAGGAAGAGCAACAAATCGCAGCTCAGAATCTTGCTGCAGAGGAGGAGGAAGAGAGATGGAAGAAGGTGCCTTCTTCAGAAATTAAGGAGATTTTTGAAATGTGGGGTAGGATGGAAAGATTTATGAAGAAACATCACCCTGAGAAGGATGTTGCAAGCCATATCGGCAACTTGTACAGTGACAGAGTCTTGGCCCATTTTAGGGAAGTTTTAAAGAGACGCCAGAAACAGAGCTCTCTGGACAGTTTTTTTGCGAGACAGGACTCCAGTGACTCTCAAGCTGGTCCTAGTGGCATTAAGAAACTGAGAAGAGAAGTAACCCCAGAAAAACAATTGGTACCTGAGGTGTTGATGGAAGGGGATTCCCCTTCCAAACAGTAAATAATCCAATCTGTCTCCTTCTCCAGTCTTCCATACACTAAGAAGAATCGCCAATAAAGGTAAGTGTTATTCTGTTAATGTTTCATTCATCATGTGCCATTGCATCGTTTATGTACTACATCTATATTTCATGTAAAATTTTTTTTTGTTTTAATACTTCTGGGTGTCAGGAATGGATTAATTGCATTTACATTATTTCTTATGGGGAAAATTAATTCGAAAATCGTCTATTTCGATAATAGTCCCACTTCCAGGAACGGATTATGGACGATTATTGAGGGACCACTGTACAACTATAAAAAACATACGAAAAATCACTGCAAAATTGCTGTTTTAATAGAAAATTATGGTCTCGGTTTTTTTCCCTCATGCACAGTGTGCTGCAGGATTTGTTTTATGTGGTGCACACATACCACATAGATGTATTCTCTCATATCTAGGCTCAAATTTACCGCTCACAGCTTATCAGAGTGAGCTAAGCTCATGGCGTAGATCTATGGTTTGGACCCTCAACGTAAAGCCATAGATCTATGGCATGGATCCTGAAAGGGTTAAAAAAATCAGTGTATCTATTTTGACTGGCTTGAGTCCTATCAACAAAGTTCAGTGTTTTAATATCATTACTGTATTTCATGTAGTATTTTATTTTGTGATGGGATGTCTAGGTTGGTTCGTGTTAAAAAATAATCTTTGGATGTAATTTTTGTTTAACGTTACAGTTAGAATCAAAGATTCCAATGCTGAATTTTTTTTTTATAATGGAGTATAGTTATCATTACTATTTTTCAGTTAGGTATAAGAGGAATGGCAAGAATGGGGAGAAAAAGGACTGGGGTAAAACTGTAGGTAGACAGGACACTCACTTGGAGTAGGTTTTAATATGGTAACTTAGCTAACAAAGTGTTAAGGCCTGGCTCCTGGACCCATTATTTATACCTATAATCTTTTAACTATTGCCCACAGAATGGGTACATGGTGACTACCATCTACATTGTGAATAGAATAAGATTTTGTTGGGATTATTAATCCAGAGGGTTAGTAACCTAGGAGTCCTGCAGCAAATGGTTAGTAGACAACAAACTATCATTACACCTAGGGAAAACTGAAGCCATTCTCTTTGGCACGAAACATAAACTGAGAAGGGTAAATAATTTTAATGTTCAATGTAATGGGGAGCCCATCACTTTGGTTTCATCAGTAAAATATTTGGGAATCCCCTTTGACCCATGCATGTCAGGAGAATTGATAGAGAACAGTGTAGTAAAGAAAGCAAATGCCAGACTGAAGTTCCTGTATAGACAAGCACAGTGTCTACCTACTGAGGCTCGCAGGACCCTATGTCTAGCCCTTATACAATGCCATATGGATTACGCTTGCTCTTCTTGGTACTCTGCCTTGACAAAAAAACTGAAAGATAGACTGCAAATCACCCAGAACAAAATCGTAAGATTCATCCTGGGGCTGGGACCAAGAGAATATGTAGGCCAGGATGAATTACAGCAGTTGGATATGCTGAATGTTGAAGACAGAGTAAAACAACTGAAGCTAAATCACATTTATAAAATTGCTCACAAACAATGTCCAGAATATCTTGCTGTCAATTTTGTCAAGGTTGGGAACCAAAGCAATCATAGTACTAGGGGGAGAGAGCACAACTTTGTAGTACCCACAGTCAGTGGCCAGGCTTCAAACACCTTTTATTGTACAGCAATAAAGGAATGGAACAGACTGCCCGCACATGTCAAAGCCAGTCATAGCATGAACCAGTTCAAGAAGAGTGCCAAAAGGTGTCTGATGAATGTAGCTACAGAAAGGGAGGGGAATGATTTTCTATTTTTTAGCTAACATACGTGTAAATTTTACCATATTCCTAGTAATGACCCTCGTATTGTAGATAGTCTTAATGACCTTGGTGTAGTAGATAGTCTTTTTAGTATGATAATAAGATGTTATCTTCATTGTAGAATAATAAGAAAATATTATAACCTTTATATTATAATAATAAGGTAAAAGGACCCCAATGGAAATAAGTCACTCTGTCTGACTTTTTTGGGTTATCCTAGGTTCTCTACACATATGCTGCTATGTATGATAATTCTATGTAACTGTATTTGTGTATACCTGAATAAACTTACTTACTAGATAATCAAATATGGTCAGGATGTCATCAACAACTATCTTCTTTCTACTGAGGTCTTTTAATCCTCTCCCTCAGGATGCAACCCACACCAGCAGCATAACACCCAGGTTGGGTGAACAGGAGCAGCAGATGTAAGGAAACATGCTAAATGTTTCCACTCGTGCCAGGAATCAAACCATGGTCCCTCAGTGTGTGAGCTGAGGCAACTATCAACTGAGCCATTTGACACCCAGAAATAAAACCTTCCAATAACCAATAACATGTTAACATAAGAATGAATTGTGAAAGAACTGTGCAAGAACACGAAATTAAGATTTATTTAGGATGTAATTAATTTCAAGATAAGGAAAGAGGGCCTTGAAGTTGAGGTGTTCCTGATCCAAGGAATGAGAGCTAAGATCCCCTTACTTGAGTCAGACTAAGTACATAAGAACATAAAAATGGAGGAACATTGCAGAAGGCCTACTGGCTCATACGAGGCAGGTCCTTATCAAAACAACCTCTACCTAAAGCTACCCAAGAAATAACTCCCAAAATTATTATTATTATTAATAATAATAATAATTTGTGCATTGTGCCTCTTTATTCTTTAATAATAATAATAATAATAATAATAATAATAATAATAATGAGGAAATTCTACTGAGGCACTGAGTACAGTACTCCAAGATGTAAACTATTACTAGCAGTTGTGACCTCTGGTCCACAAATGTCAGTGTCAGGTAAGGTCTTTTTCAGTAGCTTGTAAGGAATAACAGGCAGTACACTTTTAACACCTGTGCTGTCTCTCAGTCTTTCATTAAACACCAAGAGTGTAGAAACCATCTTTGATCAAAATCACTTCATGCCTCTCAATACCAATGGTTTTACAAACTTTCCTTAGCTACTCTGTAAACTACCAGAGCACCTATCTCCCCCCCCCCCAATTTTAGGCATAAATATTACTATTATTCAAGTCATTATATCTTTTCTCTTACAGGTGCATAAAATAAAGTCCCTTTCTTTACAACTTTAAGTCATACTAGTCTACAACAAGAGGGGTTAACAAAATATGTAACTTTTACTGCAAAATAGGCTGTGTTGAGTGACCCATATGAATTTAGCTCTTTTTTGTGTGAGAATATAAAACTGCAAAATAAATTATTATTATTTTACTACAGACATGCAAAATGATATACCCTGCTTGACTTGCTCAGTGATAGGCATGGTGGAAGCTTGATCCTATGTGTCCTGATTGAAAAACAGTGGCTCCATAAAGATGTAATTTCAGGCGAGAGATAAATGGACTTTAGAGAAAAGCACTTCACTGTCTTTAACACTTTCTCTAGCACTGTCCATAACACTGTCCAAACAACCCTCTATAATACTACCAGTAATACCCTCTTTGATATTATAACACCATCTATAACACTGTCTATAACAGCATCTCCAATGGTGTCTATAAGAGCCTCTAAAACACTTACCCTTGACATTGATACGTTGTTCACCTGTCCCTGGATGAGTGTAGAGGTCCACCTGGACACTGATCTCTCCAACAGTACCTTCTTCAGTAGAACCTGCAGGCAATAAACAGTAAGTACATGCGTGAAGTTTCTAAATATGACAGAAGATGCTGAGCATCACTGCAAACTGGCTAAGATGCAATTGAAGTTTAATTAAGTCTTATGTTTTAAGAAGATTTTGGCTAGGAATTTGAAGAATTTGCAAAAAATAAAGTGTTGCACAATATGAGTACTAACTTTGTATACACAAGAACAATCCACTTCATGATTAAACTTCTATCAAACTTAAGCTCATATACAAGTGTTAACATATTACTTCATATTTAAAATTGAAAATAACCTTGTCAAGACATGCATACTATTGACAAAAAAAAATAATCATCAGCACTGCATTATATTTTACTACTTATCGAACTTAAAAACATCAAAACAGTCTACAAATACTGTACTATACTACCATACCAGACTGCATGCTATGGAAGTTACATAATAAGCTACATCATCAACACTAGGTACAAAAATGAGATCAAAGTTACAGGACATAATATACATTTTACAACAGTGGGCTGAGCATCATTCCAAAGACATCTAAGGCACTGCCTGTGTGTGTGTGTGTGTGTGTGTGTAACAACAAAGTCAGAGATGCCAGCTACAATGCCATGTTCTCTGTGAGAGTCAAGATAACACATATTAAAGACAAGTCCATACATAACCAGTGTTGAGTGATTTCTTTGTCGTCACGCTAAGGGCTGTACTAAGGACCACGTGACATGACACGCTCAATTTGTACAATCAAAAATGCAGTTTTTGACCATTTTGAATTCTGAGTTGGTTTTTAGCTTGAGAGCTACAGATAGTGAGACTTCAGCTGCAAAAGGATCACATCTACTAAAAGTAGTATTCATACAAAATATCAAACAAAATTCTAAATAAAATCTACATAAAAAATACAGTTTTAGCTTCTGCATTTCTGAGTTGTGGCCAGGCATGAGTGAGATGATGGTAAGCTGCAGAAGGAAAACTGTTGAGTCACAAGATGCTCTAGTTCATATCATGATGGATGCTACGATCCTCGCTAGATGATGCCATACTCTCTAAGGTTGAGTTCGTAAACTCCCTAAGATGGGAACTGTTTATTCTTACTCCAGGGCCCAGTGTCTTGGGAGGTACAAAGGGCCCTAAAATAAGCACAGCGATCAAATAATCACATGACCTCTCATCTTGTCCAGTGCTTATGATATCTCTGGCAATATTAGATGAAAATACCTTCCAGGATGTTGAATTTATTTGATATATTGCTCAGGAGAATCACAATCACAGTCACCATGACACATTTACGAACCCATCAAAATGCTAAGTGTATGTATATATTTGTTTTTTCTTTCTAGGAAGACGCTACTTGCTAGAAGAGAGGAGACGTGGCTTGACTGTGCATACTCTTCACATCTCATCTTTACCTCTCTTATCACCCATTGACAGTCTCTTTCGGAATTTCTTTGCCTTAACTGGATCGTCATTATCGTCCTCTGCCTCAGGTTCATCTTCATCCTCCCCTTCTTCTTCATACTCTTCTTCCTCTTCTCGTACTTGTTCCTTTTTCTTTTTCTTGGCCTTGCCGGGAAACTTAGTGTCGTTTGCGGGAACTTAATGAGAGAAGGGAGGAGTCATGTAGTGTAGCCACCCTTGCGACTTACATCACTGGTTCTGGTACTTGTGCCTTTAGTCTGTATCTTCTACATCATCTGGTTTTACATTAATCCATACATACACTTGCTACCACTACACTTTTAACACACAAAGTGATGAAACTATCCTATCATTGTTTCTCACAAGAGCAGTTCAGAAAATAACTTAGGATATGAGTAAAAAAAAAAAAAAGTCCAGCATTGTATTTAATTAAATTCTAAAAAAAAAACTCCTAAAATAATGTTGTGGACAAAAAATGTTGAAGTAGAGCAGGGGTCCTCTGTCTTTTATAATAAATAGCTATGGTAATATAAGTAAATCGGTGGGAATAAAAAGTAGTCTTTTATTCAAAATACCGTGCAATATTGTTGTATCACATAATATTCTTAAAAATTATGATGCATATACTGTATCTTCCTTTCCAGAAGGGTGCCTTCATGCTGGTTAAAAGCTCTGGATCTGGGGAATAAGAACTACCCTTCCCTAACTCTCGCTACACTACCTCTATCCGATTAATGCTTCCTTAGAATATACGTAATAATAATAATACGTAATAATAATACATAATAATAATAATAATAATAATAATAATAATACACACATACATACAGTGCATAAAGTGATTTTTAAAATTATAAAATATTGTATCAAATATATTCCATATAAACTGGATGTGTTCTAAGCAAACAGAAAGTGACTTTGAAGATTTCTAAGAATAAAGCTAGGGACTTTTGTTCTAGTAGATTAGTGATAAATTTTCTTTGTGGAGTATGAAATTCATACCTGAATGCTGGAAAATTAAATGAATATTTAACAACAAAGCAACAATAATATTTATAGACACATAATATTTATAGATACATAAAACAATACTTAGTCATATAATCAGCAAATAGTTCAATAAGAATATGTGGTAACAAAGATATATTTATATATTAAAGAGAGAAAATACTTAATTATTAGATTAAAACATAGCCAAGAAGATGCTACACTACTGAATTAATGCAATGTGACTTAAGGTGAGACTTATTTAATACTAAAATGAATGTAAAGTGAAAAACGCAAAAGTTTAATAGACAATGCTGAGTGAGATGGACCGACCAACATGGAGATAATATAACTGAAAGACAGGATGGGTAGTGTGCATAGTTCGGCGTGCTGCTTGAGTCTACTGAAGAGGGCCTCGGTTGTTGGGAGGAATATGCTGTATGCTTCCTATCTTCTGTTATATTATTTTCCATGTGGGTTGATTTGTGTTATAAAGTGGCAAGTTTGTGAAAAAATGTTCAGGTAGCAGCACTGATGTTCAGTACTGACAAACCGCAGATGTTCAGTACTGATGAACCACAGATGTTCAGTAATGACGTACCACAGATGTTTGGTACTGACAAACCACAGATGTTCAGTACTGATGAACCACAATGTTCAGTACTGACGAACCCCAGATGTTCAGTACTGACGAACCCCAGATGTTCAGTACTGACGAACCCCAGATGTTCAGTACTGACGAACCCCAGATGTTCAGTACTGACGAACCCCAGATGTTCAGTACTGACCTACTACAGATGTTCAGTACTGACGAACCCCAGATGTTCAGTACTGACCTATTACAGATGTTCAACCACCAGCAACTACAACATTTAAGTGAGATGATTGAGCGTAAAAAACCCAAAGAGTTTAACTTCAAGGTTTCAAAAAAGTATTTGCCAATTTTTTTAACACATTAAACTTTCAATACATACAACAATTACTAATATTTCTCCAAATGAAAAAAAATGGCTTAAATGCCTAGTTGTAAATGAACTATGTGGTTCTCAGGGTGCTTCAACTTCAGATTTGCAAATAATAATCAGACTGTAACAAGATGAAGTCCACAGTTCTGACTAACAATATGAAGTCCACAGTTCTGAATGTAACATTATGAAGTCCACAGTTCTGAATGTAACAATATGAAGTCCACAGTTCTGAATGTAACAATATGAAGTCCACAGTTCTGACTAACAATGTGAAGTCCACAATTCTGAATGTAACAATATGAAGTTCACAGTTCTGAATGTAACAATATGAAGCCCACAGTTCTGACTAACAATATGAAGTCCACAGTTCTGAATGTAACAATATGAAGTCCACAGTTCTGACTAACAATGTGAAGTCCACAGTTCTGAATGTAACAATATGAAGTCCACAGTTCTGACTGTAACAATATGAAGTCCACAGTTCTGACTGTAACAATATGAAGTCCACAGTTCTGAATGTAACAATATGAAGTCCACAGTTCTGAATGTAACAACATGAAGTCCACAGCTCCGACTAACAATACGAAATCCACAGCTCTGACTAACAATATGAAGTCCACAGCTCTGACTAACAATATGAAGTCCACAGCTCTGACTAACAATATGAAGTCCACAGCTCTGACTAACAATATGAAGTCCACAGCTCTGACTAACAATATGAAGTCCACAGCTCTGACTAACAATATGAAGTCCACAGCTCTGACTAACAATATGAAGTCCACAGCTCTGACTAACAATATGAAGTCCACAGCTCTGACTAACAATATGAAGTCCACAGCTCTGACTAACAATATGAAGTCCACAGCTCTGAATGTACTAACAATATAAGGCTAACAGATCTGAGTGCACTTTATTTTCTAGCTTGTCACATGGGTGCATATAAAGATAGTATCACTTTACCCTCTACATACCCTCTTCATATTTACTAATCAAGTTAAGAAAATCATTGTAGAACTGGCCTATAATATCAGCTTCTAAACAATTTGGGAGTTGTATTTACCCGCATTTCAAGATTCAGTAATGTTAGTTCCAACCGTTTCTGATGGCAGATTACTGACTACTGCCATTTCATTACTGTAACAGTCATGAGTGCCTTGATGCTGGTGAAGGGTTCTTGATCCAAAGAATTGGAGGTAGTCTCCTTTTCTTCAGCTCTAATCTGACTAACCCCATTTCCCAGACACTGTATGACCCTTATGGGTTTATGAATAAGATACATGCGCAACAGTGCCCATGCATTTTACTGAGCAACTTGCTGGTATTGTACACTATTATACTGACACAGGTAACAGTACTCGGAAAGAAGAAAAGCTTTGGCGTTTCTGAAAAATAAATTGACATTGTGATCTGTTTGTATAGTAGTAGATGCTTTCACTGTATTGTTGGGAGAGTCTTCTTAATGGACTCTGAGGGGGAGGTAGAAGTGGCTTGTGTTCCTCGAGGGTCATAGATTTCTATGCACAATATTTTTTTCATACTTCAAAAGTAAAGTATTTTAGTGTATACTATAGGTAAAAATTTTCTTGTAAGTTACAGCACAAGCAAACCCAAGTCTTATTTTTGATATTCATTTGATTTATATTAAAACATTTACCATCACACATACTATACAGAAATAACAAAAACAAATTAAAGGAGGTTAAACTGCCAGTGACTTAGCATGGTGTTAATAAATTTGAAATGATTAGCCTGAGGTTAAAAGAATACATGTATAGGGATGTACCACCTCTACTGCTAATACTGTTTGTTTCTTTATACAGTCTTTCCTCACTAAACAATGGAGTTCCGTTCCTAAGACCACATATTTAAATGAATTTGTCGCTAAGTGAGTAGCATACTATAATGGTAGTGGGGTTTGTGTTTTAATGTTACCTTTGCACCGTTTATAACATTTCTGGTATATTTTTAAACATACAGTAGTGTACTGTATACTGAAATAAACAGAATAGAGGAAATCAGCTCTAATATACATTATTTAGGTATAAATGCTGGTCAGAGAGCCCGTCGTAAGTCCGGGGGCGTCAATTAAATGGTCGAAAAGGTTTTTTAGTGAGGAGATTATGTGTGATTTGGGGTTTAAAAAAGTTTTGGGAATGGGGATAAAATTATTTTTTTTTTGGGGGAATTTTCTTTCTTTTTGGGTCCCTGCCTCGGGTGGGGAAAAAATTTATACTTGTATATACATACATGTACAGTGGACCCCTTTTAACGATTTTTTTTCCACTCCGGGAAGTATGTTCAGGTGCCGTACTGCCCAAAATTTTTTCCCCAAAAGGGAAAAAAGGGGAAGTAGATTAGTCCATTTCGGGGCCCCAAAAAAATTACCGTAAAAAAGCCTTACATAAATTCGTTTCAAAAATTGGTCGCTTTTCGGGGGGGATCTTTTTGCGGGGGTCCACGTATTTATATATATATATATATATTTTTTTATACACACACTGTACAGGGGGCCCCCCGGGTTTCGGATTTTTTACTCCAAAAAGTATGTTCAGGTGCCGTACTGACCAAATTTTGCCCCATAAGGAATATTGTGAATTTGGTTTTGCCCATTTCAGCCCCTTTAAAATACCGTACAAACCCCTTTTATTTAAATACATTTTCAAAATTTGGTCGCATTCGGAGGTGATCGTTTTGGGAGGTCCACTGTATAGCTTAACATTATCAGGGCCCCCCGCATACATTTGGGGCATCCCCAAAATTTTTAAATCGCATCCGATACATTTTATCGCAAAGATTTTGCCTCGCATACCGCTAAAAAACCCGCTAAACGCTTTTTGTCCGAGATGCACCCGTGTGGTCTGAGCCACCCCCTTTTAAGAATTTGTTTTATCTCACCCGACTGAAAATCATCATGAAACAAATATCTTTGGAGCGCAGCGGGAAGGGCTGTTTGGAACTCTTATGTGTAAAACTTTTGGACTAGTAAATATCCCTTGTAAAACCCCAAACTTCGGAGGGGGAAGGGGCCCTGCGGGGTACCCTTCACCCCCCTCGCCTTTTCCCCCCCTTTCCCTCGTTTTTTGGGAATCAGCCATTCGCCTCTTTTTTCCCTTAGGGTCTAGAGGGGGTTTTTTGCCAGCCCACTTAAATGCTTGGTGCCCTTGTCAGCCCTCCGTCCCGCCCCCCAATTCATCTTAAAATTATGTCCCCGGGGTCCCTAC